CGAGCTCAGCCGGGCTGATGGGCTCTGCGGGCCGCACCTGCACTGCCCTGGGCAGGACCCTTGGCGGCACCCCTGGCGCACACACACCGCTGCACAGCTGCGCCCCCACCCTGAGACGTGGCCTTGGGCAGACTGCGCCTCCCCGAGAGGGGAGTCTGGGTGGCCCGGCCAGGGCGAGTGACATTCAGGACACACCCAGGGGCCGGCACAGTGCGAGGCCTGCACGGGCGTTTTCCTGTCTAACCCTCACATTCCGCCCGGTGGAGGGGCACCGCTGGTCTTCCCATTTTTCAGATGTGGAACCAGAGGCAAAACAAGTTTAGTGACTTGCGCGAGGTTACGCAGCCTGTAAGTGGTGGGGCCAGAATCCGAGTTCAGCCCAAAGCTGGACTTCCTCCTGTGGCAAAGGGGAGGATCCACCGACTGGCTGGTCGTGAAGGCCCTCCCAGTCCTGCCGTTGGGTGCTGAGGGTCCCGCAGGCCAGGCTCTGGGCTGGGCTGCCCGACAGGCTGGGAACATCCCAATGACTAAAACAGGGCCCGTCTGAAGTCTAACATGCCAAGGGCAGTTTAGGAGAATGAGCCTGGGCTCGCTGAGAATTTTATTGGGCCCTACTGCACACATCGGGTGGCTGGAGAGAAGGAGATAAGTAAGACACATTCCCTGCCTCTGAGGTGAGGTCTGAATACAAAAGAGCAGGTAAGCTAGCCCTTGAAGGAGGTCAGAGTCAGGAAAAGATAACGGGGTGGGGAACAGCATGGGTAAAGGCTTGGTGGTGAGGACAGACAAAATCTGGGGATGGTGAGAAGAGAGGCCTGGCAGTGGGAAATGAGGTTGGGTAAAACAGGATTCGGGAATATTTCAAATGCCAGGCTGAAGATCTGAGGCTATATCCTTAGGTAATGGGGAACCTCTAGAGGTGGTGGAAGCCGGATTTCAGGACAGGTCTCTTGCTCTGGAGAGTCAGATGCTGTAGAAGGGAGAAAGGAGGGACTGGAGACTGGGACTTTTCCAGATGGACCTGTTTTGCCATCTGGAAAATTGGATTTAAAGAATTGTTTAAAGCTGTGGTCCCCACCGCCCCCCCTCATGGCCCAGTACCAGTCTGTGGCCTGTTAGGAACTGGGCAGCACATCGCCTGGGCTCCGCCTCCCCCTCACCCCAGCCACCCCATGTCCCTGGAAAAATTATCTTCCATTAAACTGGTCCTTGATGCTAAAAAGGCTGGGGACTGCTGGTTTATTTTATTTTTTGTGCATGTTTCTCATTTTTATTTATTTATTTATTTTTTGAGACAGAGCCTCACTTTGTTGCCCAGGCTAGAGTGAGTGCTGTGGTGTCAGCCTAGCTCACAGCAACCTCAAACTCCTGGGCTCAAGCAATCCTGCTGCCTCAGCCTGGGACTACAGGCATGCACCACCATGCCTGGCTAATTTTTTCTATATATATTAGTTGGCCAATTAATTTCTTTCTATTTATAGTAGAGATGGGGTCTCGCTCTTGCTCAGGCTGGTTTTGAACTCCTGACCTCGAGCAATCCACCTGCCTTGGCCTCCCAGAGTGTTAGGATTATAAGCGTGAGCCACCACACCCAGCCGGGACCACTGGTTTAAAGGACTGCAGTATAGAAAGCCACATCCTAGAATGTCAGAGCTGGCAGGACCCTTACAATCACTACTGTCCAACCCCTTATCCTGCATAAGGGGAAACTGAGGTTAGAGGAGAAGGAGGCTGGCCCTAGTTTGTTCAGCAAGTAAGCAGATCTAGGGCTTCCATACCAGGTCTTCTACCTCTCAGGCCTTCTTCTTCCTGCTTGGATGCTAAAATGACCACCGTTTCGGTGCCTACAAAACAGGATTTGAATGTGGGCCTGAGAGGAGGTCCCTACCCCAGGCTTTGCCATGCTTTGGGAGTCACCTTTGCTGATGGAATCCAGGTTAACAAACCAGGCTGATCTTCCCCTAGTGAATATTATCAAAGAGCATGCGCAGGCTGGATAGTAATTAATCACCCACCCACCCTTGGTGAGGATGGGGTTCTGGTGAGAGTAGGGAGGAGGGCCAGCACCGGATGGGGACACATCCTCAACTCCTTCCAGCTCTTAGAGGGCTGAGAGCCCTTCCAGCTTTTCTGATCATGTTCGACTGAGATTGATTTCAAAACAGTGAAAATTTAGGTAGAACTGGGACATTCTGAATAATCGAGTTTGTTTGTTTTGTTTTTTTGAGACAGAATCTTTCTCTGTTGCATGGGCTAGAGTGCAGTGGCATCAGCCTCGCTCACAGCAACCTCAAACTCCTGGGCTCAAGAGACCCTCCTGGCTCAGCCTCCCAAGTAGCTGGGACTACGAGGCGCTCACCACCACACCTGGCTAATTTTTTCTATGTTTGTTTTTTGTAGAGATGGGTCTTGCTATGTTGCTCAGGCTGGTCTAGAGCTCCTGGACTCAAGTGATCTTCCTGCCTCATCCTCTCAAAGTGCTGGGATTACAGGCGTGAGCCGCTGTGCCCAGCCAGGCTGCTTATTTTTGTCCTCACGGCTTTCCAACCTGTTCCAGGGCTTGAACAAAATCACAAGCTGGTCTTGGGCAGTGCCAGAATTCATGCTCAGGTCTGCATAATCCCAAGTCTGACCAGTCCCACACTGCCCCGGGGTGTCAGCTAAGAAGGGCTCAAAGTGTGACTCCCCTGCGGGGTCATTCAAATTGTAAAAAGCATATACAAGCCCCCCACCCTATAGCCTGCACACGCTTACCAGCACTCATCTTTGCTCTCTGGGGAGAGAGCTGCAAACTCCCCAGACCCTGCTCCCAGGGCTTCTCAGTCTCAACAGTAAACACACCCTGAGCAAGATGAAGGAGACCAACAGTTAATGCGTTGCCCCAGGGCTCAGAGCAGGTCCCCAGCACAGAGTCCCAATCTGTGTCTTCACCTGGTACAGAGTCTCGCTCAGGGAACACAGCAAAAAGCCCCCTAGCTTCCTTAGGATGTGTAGTGTGATGGGAGAAAGAACTTGGTTGTGGACTTAGGTTCGAATCCTGTTCTGCCAGTGTACCAGCTCAGTACCATCGGGGAAGCTACTTGCACAAAGGGACAAACGGGGCTGAATCAGTGGTTTACGCCTGTAGTCCCAGCTGCTTGGGAGGCTGAGGTGGGAAGATCCCTTAACCCTGGGGGGTTCAAGGCTGCAGTGAGCTATGAATTACGACACTGCACTCCAGCCTGGGTGACAAAGTGAGACCCTGTCTCAAGGAAGGAAGGAAGGGAGGGAAGGAAGGAGGGAGGGAGGGAGGGAGTCAAGTCTCATCCTGGACCTACTGAATCAGAATCTTCATTTTAAAATAACCAGGACTGACCATGCCTGTGTCTTAGGTTTGTTGTGGGGGTCAGCAGGCGTGTGTGCTGTGCCTGCATGGTGCTGGCACCAGCCATCACAGCTGTGAAGCTGTAATAATTCTTCGCTGCAACGCACTCCGAGCTAGTGGTCACGACTGCTCCTCACGCGGGGCTGGATTTCCAAAGCCTTGATAGAACCCTCCACCGGAGCCCAGTGAATAGGTGACCCAGAAAAGGCACGACCTGGTTTTTGGTTTTTTTTCTCAGATACTCCAGGACACTCTGAGCTGCCTAAGAAGTCTGGACAGCAAGGGACATATTACAAAGAAAACCTGGTATTGTTCTAGTGTTCACACTGTTGGCATGGTTACCATCTTGAGCTGGAGGGGCTACCTACACACAAATTAGTGTTGCACAGATAGGATTTTAATTTTTTTCCCCCAATGTAGGCTGCCTGCTGCCAAGGTGACCTTACTGATCCCCAGCCAATGACAATAAACACCACCAACAATAGCATCAACAACAGCTTTTGTTTTTTTTTTTTTTCATTTTTAATTTTTTTTTAGTGAACCTGGGCAGTTCAATAGCTCTTGTTTATTAATCACTCTCTGCCTGCCTTGAGGGTAAACAATTTACCCTCATATATTATCTCATCAAATTGTCTGCACTCGAAGCCAGGTGCAGCAGCACACGCCTGTGATTCCAGCTACCTGGGAGGCTGAGATGGGAGGATCCCTTGAGCCCAGGAGTTCAAAACCAGGCTGGGCCATATAGCAAGACCCCTGTCTAAAAAAAAAAATCATCACTTGGAGGAAGGTTGTTATCCCTGTTATACGGACAAGTAACTGAGTCCCAGAAGGGTCAGATGCTTGCAGTCATCCAAAGCCTTCCCCAGTCACACCCATTTTCTGTCATTTCCTTTGACCCCAGTGTTCTTTTGCTGATCCCAAATCCCGCCCCCTGTGTCTAAGATCAGAATGAGCACACAGATTTCAGGATCATCCAGAGCCTTCTGTCGCTCTTTCAGAGCCTGCCTTGGAAGCAGACAGGCACCCAAGGCAGCTTTTGGCATTAAGACGTGCAAAAATGTCCTGGTAGCTGCAATCTGTGAGCGGGTGGAGCTCAAAGCCCCATTCACAGCACTCGCCCCCCTGGAGCTAGAGCTCGTTCAAAGGAGCTCGGCCCAGGGGTAGAAGGAAAGCTGTCACCTATGGGATTGCAGTGAAAATGAGGGCGAAAGAGGCTTCTGCAGATGGTCTGGGAGCTTGTGTTTCTGAGAGAGAATTTTCTAGATCCTTTGGCTCGAACCATCTGGATAATTGCCTCAAGTTTCTGCATGGCACCCACGTGGTGGGCCCAGGTGGGAGGGCTGTTGTGGTCCAGGAAAGCTAGAGAATGCTGTTACTTCACCTCTAAACCTAGGATGTCTTTTTTTTTTCTTTTCTTTTGTTTTTTTTGTTTTTTTTTGAGACTGAGTCTTGCTCTGTTGCCTGGGCTAGAGTGCCGTGGCATCAGCCTAGCTCACAGCAACCTCAAACTCCTGGGCTCAAGCGATCCTCCTGCTTCAGCCTCCTGAGTAGCTGGGACTACAGGTGCTTACCACCATGCCCAACTCATTTTTTCTATTTTTAGTAGAGACGGGGTCTCACTCTTGCTCAGGCTGGTCTCAAACTCCTGAGCTCAAGCGATCCTCCTGCCTTGGCCTCCCAGAGTGCCAGGATTACAGGTATGAGCCACTTCACCCAGCCTAAGCCTTAGATATCTTACCTGTAAAATGGCAGGCTGCACTGGTGATGACAAAGTCCTTTTTTTCCTCTACACTCCGAAAGTCTAGGGTATTTCACCCTTGGAAGATGAACAGAAGATGACAGGACAACCCGAGAGGATAAAACAGGCATGCTTCAAGCCAAGTGTTTGGATCATGTCAAGTCGTGGAGTGAAGAAGGCCATGAACCCCTACTCCACAGCAGGCCACGGGGGAGCAGTTTGTCAATACCCTCCCTCTTGGTTAAGGCAAGGTCAGTATTATAGTTTCCACCTTACAGATGAGGAAACTGTGTCGCAGGGAGGTCGAGTGTCTTGCCCAACTTCAGCAGAGAAAGCAGAGGGGCAGGAACCAGGATCCAGAGCCGCTCCATCTCCTCCACCGCGGCCCCCGACCTGAGAGCCTGAGAACATTCTTTTAGTCGCTGAGCTGTGAGCATAACTGTCATCAACTGCTGCTTCAACCAAACCCTGGGAATAAGGGAGAGAGAGGGTCGCTGAGTTTTCCCCACAGCTCCCTGCCAGGAAACTCTGCTAAAAAACATCGTTTCCTCCCCAGTATGTTAGTAGGAGGCAAGCAGATTGTTACAGCCTTCTGTCTTCTGAGCTGAGACAAAACGGTGACAGGCTGGCCCCCACTCAGGAAACAAAGGGATCTGGGAGGAACAAAGCCACATGGGAAGGCTGGCTCTAGGAGGCTGACCTCTGCAGACACAGCGCTGAGCTGCCCCTGGGGTCGTAGGTGGAACCTCACCCCCTTTAGACATCAAAGTTCCTCCACCTGACCCTTCCTAACCTGGCCCAGGCCCCTCATTCCAAGGTCATCACCCACTCCATGAACATTGTAGGCCACCAAGTCCCTGATTCTGTCAGTGAGTTTCTGGAATGTCCTTTCTCATCCCTCCAACTCATTCCTTGCTTCTTCAATCCTTTACTATCCAGCTGAAATCTTACCTCCTCTAAAAAGCCTTCCCAATTTCTGCAACAAGAAGTACTCTTGCCTTCCACCTACTCCTACTGTGACTGGTACTCGCCATCTGCAGAGAGCGACATCGGTAGGGTGGACGCTACTGGCCGTACAGGGTGTCGAGCACTGTGTTATGTCATTTAATGTAACGTATAATCTCATTTAATCCCCCACAGCAACTATTCCTTTTATACCCATTAAACAGATGAGGCAATGGAAGCTCAGAGAGGCTTCCTCTCACCCGAGGTCATGCAGCTAGTAGAAGAGTTAGGATTTGAACCCGGGTCTTTCTGACTGTAAAGTTAATGCTCTTTGTCACTTAAACCACCTGCTTCCTTCTTCCCAGGAAGTTGCCATTTCCCTTGCAGAATGTGAGCACCGGAGGCTAGGGCCTCTATTTCATTCATTATCTGAGCCTCTGAGATGCCTGGCTGAGGGTCCTGAATCTAGACACCGCTCCACGATTGCTGAATTGAATGTGGTTAGACCTTCTGCATATTACAGAAATCCCAGCACAAAAGCCATCTTTGTGAGTGGCCAAGTTCTTCCTTTTCCTCTACCCCAGGAGTGGGAAAACTTTAAATCAAGTGACCGCTTACTGATTAAATGACAGCTGAGTGAAAGATAAGAAAAGGGAGAGAGCAGAGGCGAGGAAGGCAGGACTGCAGGAGCCAGGAAGGAGCTGAAAGGAGGAGGAGGGCGCCCAGGTTGCATCTGACCTGTTTGTGATTATTCAGAGCTCAAGATTGGGAGTTAGCGGACCTGGCCTCAGATCTCAGCTCTTCCACTGTAGCTGGGGGAACCTGGACAGGTCGCTGCACCTCTCTGAACTTAAGTTTCCTCTTCCATAAAATGGGCATGTTGCTGTCCTTGCTAGACTGAGCTGTTGCCAGGAGGAATAATGCTCTGCCTGGGGAAGGGAGTGGGTGCTACTTACCTGGTACTGTGACAATGTTGTCACCCCCTTTAAATGGGGACAGTTGGAGGATCAGCCTAGGCCCCGAAAGCTTGTGGCAACCGGGAACTCAGAGTCGCAGAATGACAGACCCATAGTGAAGATCTTGAAGACAATTAGCTTTGGCTTTCTTACTCTAAGAGGCGGCACAGCATGGTGGACTGACGGCCAACTCTGCCAGCAGATGAGCCTGGCTCCAAATCTTGGTCCCCACTTGCTAACTGTGTGGCTTTGTGCGTGTCACTTTGCCCCCCTGGGCTGGTTCCTCATCTTTAATATGGAATTAAAAGTAGTTCCCTTGCCACAGCACTGTTAGGAGGATTAGCGACCCAGACAATGGCAGCTGGTTATTCAGCTGGTCCTAAGGGAAATGAGGCTCAGAGAAGGAAAGTAATTCACCCGTGGTCACACAGGTTAGCAGCAAAACCATGTCCTTGGCCTCCCAAAGCCTTGTCCCTCCCAAAGCCCTGACCTTGTCCAGGCCTCCCAAAGCCCAACCTTGGGCTTATCCTCAGACAGTTGAGGCCTTACCTCAAAGGAAGCCAAGACTGACCTTGAAAATGCAGCCAAGGAACTCATGCTGGGATCACCAGTGGGATTCTGTGTCTCACTGAGCTGAAACAACTGCTCAGGTTGCCTGTGGCTACAGTATGGCAAAATGCCCAAGTCAGAGCCTAGGGTCATGTGTCCAACTTGGGGGTCTACCATGTAACCCTGGGCATGTCTGGTCACCTCTGTGAACCTCAGTTTCTCTGCTTACCAAATGGGGGGAAGAAATCCTGGCAGTTTAAAGGAACCATATAAAGGCAGAGAGCTATTTTCATAACAGCTTCCCCTGAGTTCTCCTTGCGTATCTCACTATGCACCCAGCCCTGCACTATTGCTAGCAATGGCTTCATTTGGTCTTCATAGCAACCCTGTGAGCTGGGGCCCTAACTTGCAGAGAAATGGCTCAGAACAGGTGGAACAAGGATCTGTGCTCCCAACCTATTCCCTCTGCCTAAAACACGCCTCCTCTTTCTCTACCTAACTTGGGCTCCTTCTTCAGGTTTCAGCATCATCCTGGCTTCCTTTGGAAGGATCCTTTGGGCTCAGGCCAAAGTAGGCACCTGCCCTCACCTGCAGTGCTGGGTTTCTCACTCTCCTCCAACAGACAGGGAGCTCCACAATGCAAAGACCTCGCCACGCTCATGGCTGTATCTCCAGAGCCTAGCACTGTGCTTGGTATACAGCAGGTGCTCCGTAAATACTTGCCAAATGACTGAATGCATCATGCCAGCATCAGGATGCCTCCGCAGCCTGTGCGAGCTGGCGAGATCAGAGGAAGAGGAAAACTTCTGGACTCCTGCCACGCCTTACATTAGCAGCATCTTCTCTGAGGCCTGACAGCCGGCCTCCTGGGATGCCATTTGAGCCAGCTTAATTCCGGTCACTGCTTCACCTTGGAAAGGCAGCCGCAGCCCTCACCGAGTGGCCCAGTAATTGACATCACAGCAGTGCTAGGAGCTGCCCTATTAATATTTGATGTGGCCTCGCTGCGGCAAAGCCCCGGTCTCCAAGAGCTGGAGGGGCCGTGCAGAGTCTCCATGGGGTCGTGGGGCGGGCAGGGGTGGGAAAGGGCTTCATAAACCATAAGGCCCCAGCAGATGAGCATTACGCTGACCCATTTTAGTCCCTGGCTTAACTCAGGAAGAGCCGGGCAGCATGTGCTTGCAGTGGGACAAGAAGACTGCTGACTGAGCCCAAGCACTGAATACATGGGGGATTAGGGGTTCCCGGGGACATTTCCTGGAGACAGGGGAGGGCAGAACCCTGGCGCCGGCCAGATCTGGACTCCACTCGAGCCTGGCCCTGCCCAGCTGTGTGACCGGGGCAACTGGACTGCTGAGCCTCAGCTCCCTCGTCTGTGAAATGGCCTAAGACTTGCCTGTGCTGCTGCTGTGAGGATGGACTGAGACACGCGGTGCAGAGGCCCTAGCTTGCCACATAACAGGACGTCCACAAATGCCGAGTCCCTTCTCCCAGACGGGCCTGGGACCTGAAGCTGGAGAGAGGAGGTGTGGGGCCCTTCCCGCATTCATTGGCCAGAGTGATGGCAGAAGGGAAGAAACAGCAAGGAGGCACAGAAAGGTGACCTTGGAGCCAAACACCTCGGGTTTGGACTTTCCACCATGGTGGCCCGGACAAGCAGAGACACCAGAGAGAGGATGGGCAGACAGCCCCAGGATGGCAGAAGCAGAAGGGCCCTCACAGATAATCTCTCTGCCCATCGGACCCCTCTGTTTGGCAGATGAAGGTACTGAGGGTCCAGGAGGGAGCAGACAGTGCCAGAGGCTCACACGCAGAGCGGTTGATCTGGTCTGCAGCCCTCCGGGGCCCCATCGCCTGGCATGTATCCAAGGCCACCTCCCAGGTGGGGCCGGTAGATGGGTTGGCAGATAGCATGTGATGCCCCATTCCTGGTGCGGACCCCACTCCTCTGGCCTGCACAGTAGGAGGAGCCTCATCCCCTGCCCCTTGGTCTCCCTCTAGTCTATTTTCCTGCAAATCCTGGGAGCTTCCTAAAATATAAATATGAACTTGTAGTCTCCCTGCTTAAAACCCTTCCACGATCCCGCATTTAAAGTTACCAGGAGGAATCCTAGCACTCTGGGAGGCCGAGGTGGGCGGATTGCTTGAGGTCAGGAGTTCGAAACCAGCCTGAGCAACAGCGAGACCCCCGTCTCTACTATAAAATAGAAAGAAATTAATTGGCCAACTAATATATATAGAAAAAATTAGCCGGGCATGGTGGTGCATGCCTGTAGTCCCAGCTACTCGGGAGGCTGAGGCAGAAGGATCGCTTGAGCCCAGGAGATTGAGGTTGCTGTGAGCTAGGCTGACGCCACGGCACTCACTCTAGCCTGGGAAACAAAGTGAGACTCTGTCTCAAAAAAAAAAAAAAAAAAAAGTTACCAGGAGGCGCAGCTAAAACTGAATTTCCAGCTGGGTGCAGTGGTGTTCCCCTGTAGACCCAGCTACATGGAGGCTCACTTGAGCCCAGGAGCTTGAGGGTAACCTGGACAACATAACATAAAGTCAGCATACAGTCAGCATAAAACCCTAACTCAAAAAGAAACAAAAGAAAAAGAAACCCTGAATTTCAGATAAACAATGAATAATGTTTTAGTATAAGAATGTCCCACTAGCACTCTTGGAGGCTGAGGCAGGAGGATCACTTAGATTCAGGAGTTCAATACCAGCTTGAGCAAGAATGAGACCCCATCTCTACTAAAAATAGAAAAAATTAGCCAGGTGTGGTGGTGGGCACCTGTGGTCCCAGCTACTTGGGGCAGGAGGCTCACTTGAGCCCAGGAGTTTGAGGTTGCTGTGAGCTACAATGATGCTGCTGCACTCTAGCCTGTGTGACAAAGCAAGACTCTGTCTTAAAAAAAAATGTCCCAGATATTGCGTGCACATGCTTATGCTTAAAAAATTATTTATTATTTAAGTAAAATCCAAATGTAACAGGAGAACCTGTATTTTTATTTGTAAAATCTGGAAAAATTTCAGAATTTCCCTCAGGAAAAAGGATGAAGACTTCAGTTGGCCCACGAGGCCCATTTTGGCCCTGAGCTCATCCCTCCCCTCTTCCACATGGACCCTGCTTCAGACACAACTCCTTGCCTTAACTTGAGAGTCCCAAGCCCTCCCTCCTCTCTGACCTCTACAGACTCGTTCCCCCCACTGGGACGGTCTTGGTATCCTCTACTCCTCCTAGTGCCCCACTGTGGTTGACCTGACTCATCCATCAGGCTTCTGAAGCATCGTCACTTCCTCCAGGAAGCCTTCTTGGCTTTCTAGGCCTGGCTGGTGCCATCCCTATGCCCCCACAATTACTCTCTCTGCCTGTTCTGTTCCCCTGGCATAGCACAGGGACTCAGCAAGCATTTGTTGCCCTGAATTGCAAAATTCCACAGCCCCCTGCATCTCTCCTATCAACAGTCCCCTCCTTCAACCACATCTTATGAGACCCCCAAGGCCTTTTTGGAATCCATCTCCTCCAGACCTTCCCCGAGCCCCAACATCCTTCCAGCTCTTCTCTGTGAGATGCGCCTGGCGTGCCCCAGTCACAGCTGGGGCAGTGAGCGATCTTTCCCACAGTCTCAGCAAGATCATCAGCCCTGGGACTCTCCTCTTGTGACCTGTGGTGCTGAGCGCTGTGCCTTCCTGTCAGACAGTGCTCAACAGATGCTGCGGAGCTTTGGGAAAGCCAAGCCAAGATCCTGTGTTTGATTCTCCTTCCACCCAGTGGCCAATAACCCAAATCGTAACGCTGCCCTGAGGTAGAGCCTCTCACATCCTATATGCTATAAAAGATGGGAAGCATCCTTAGTTCCCGCTTTACAGGAGGGGAAACCAAGGAGGTGGAGGAAACCATTGTCCAAGGCTCAGGTCTCTGGGCTCCATCCTACCTCAGGGCCTTTGCACCTGCTTGCTGTTCCTCTGCCCGGAACACTCTTTCCCAAGCTCTTCTCGTGGGTGACGGGGCAGGTTAAAGATGGTCACAAATACTTTGCTGCCCCCCTGCATTAAGAGGTGACGTCTCTTTCCCCACCTCTCAATCCAGGCTGGCCTTGTGACTTGCTTTGACAACAGAATGTAGCAGAAGTGACCCTTTATGATTTTGAGAGCCTAGGCCTCAAGAAATCTTGCAAGCTGCTGCCTTCACTATCTTGGCACACTGCTCCTAGACCACCACATAAGGCAGCCGGTCTAGCCAACTGGAGGATGAGGGGCCGCGTAACACGGAGCCAAGGCGCCCCAGCCAACAGCCAGCACCGACCTCCAGAGGTGTGAGTGAGGCCGTGTTGGACCAGCTGTGCCTCCAGCTGAATGCAGCGCTCGTGTGACCAGGAGAAGTGGGCAGAGGATCCACCCAGGCCAACCGCGGACTCATGAGAAATAAGAAAATAGTCGCTGTAAGCCACTAAATTTGGAGGTTTTTTATATGACCATACATAACTGATACAACTGCCTCCTCCTCATTCAGGTGTCTGCTCTGAAGTCACCTCCTCAGAGAGACCTTTCTGGACTATTCTGGCTAAAATAGTATCCCACCCCACCCCCAAACCCACCCCTACCCCAACCCCACGAGCCATCGTTTATCCCATCATCCTGTCCAAGGCATTTATCACCATCTGAAATCATGATTTATTCACTTATGCATTTACTAACCACCTCTTGCACTAGGCTGCAGGTTCCGTGAGGGCAGGGGCCAGCATGGGGGCCTTGCCACCTCCCTAGCACTGTGGGGTGTCTGGCACAGGGAAGAGCTGCAAACTGTTGGTGGAGAGATCGTGAGCTTGCTGGTGTGGCACAGGGGAGCAGAGTGGCAGGTGTGAACTCCCACCGGGGCACATCTTCCAAAATCAGTGCCCTTGGAGGGAAGGAAGGCTGGCCAGGTGGCTGGGCTCTGTTTCAGGGACAAGAGCTTCTGGGAGCCCAAGTTGAAGAGGAAGGAAGAGAAGCCGCCAACATGTTCATTTTCAGCAGGGGCTCAGGTTCAGATCAAGGAAGTCACTAGGGCTTCTCTCCTGCCAGCTGCTGAGTATCTGCGGCTCAGCCACACCCTCCTGCAAGATGAGCAAGCAGAGCAACAGGGCAACGGGAGACAATGTTGGGGACACTGAGTCACTCCCCAGGGACCAACTATTTCCAAGTCCCTCAGACTCCTCAGAGCCTGCTTTCCCCAGTGCCACGAAACTGATCCAGCCATAGCCTCCATGGAGCAAAAGAAATACATATGCGACAGCAAAAACAATCAGCTCCAGGATGCAGCTTCAAGCTATACCACTCTGCATTCTGTCGGAGCAGAGAGAGCATCGCTGTGGTTCCAGCCGAGCTGCTTTCAAGTCAGGCACGACAGTGTGACCTTGCGCATGTTGTTCCACCTTCCCAAGCACCGATTTCTGCATCTATAAACAGTGGACAATGAAGGCTGAACTCCTAAGGCTGTGATGAGAATTCACTGAAAACAGGATGCTCAGCACAGCTTCAAGCACACAGAAACAGTCAGACTGATTGCAGTGAAGCTTGTGAGCATCTCTTCACCTGTCGGCATATGGCGGTGAGGGGAGGCAGGGAGCAAGATTTGCAGTTAAACACAGACTCTTCCCAGAGACATTTAGGAGTTGCCTGGCATTGCCTGGCAGGGACTAGGGTGATAGTGTGAAACCTTTGGTCCACGTTGGAGTGTCTGATTCTAATTGGCTTCTCTAACAGATGAGAAAGCCCCTCAGAGCAGCCCTCCCACCCTCCTGGAGGCCCCCTGGTGTGACTAAGTCAACGGTTTGGAGGTGGAGCCCTGACAAGGATTCAGCAGGCCTGGATTAGGGACCCAGCTCTGGCACTAAATGTTGTGTGACAGGGAACAAATCACTTGCCCTCTCTGGGCTCTAGTGTCCTCATGTATAAAATGGGTCATTCACCTCTTACTTACCAAACTCATAGGGTTGTTGAAATGATGAAATGATGACATGGTTTTCAAAGAGTACTTTGAAAAGCATTTGTTGTTTGACTAATAAAAAGGGAATAGCTATGAAAACTGAAAGAACCCCTGGATTCTCTAGAAGAGACCCCCTAAAGCAGAGCTCCTCAAACTTTTTAAACGGGGGCCAGTTCACTGCCCCTCAGACCGTTGGAGGGCCATTGGAGAGTGAGGCTCATATTCCACACATGCGCAGTGTGGGCCCTGGACGAGTCGGCTGCTAAGCAGGACAGGCAGCGGCGGCAAAATCACCCGGTGGGCCAGATAAATGTCCTCCCCGGCGGGCCGCATGTGGCCCACGGGCTGTAGTTTGAGGATGCCTGCTCTAAAGGCTTTGAGTCAGGCAATATAATATGAGTTCAAATCCTGGCTTGCAATGTGCATGACTCGGGGCAAATGAGTTGACTTTTGGCACTGCCAGAGGTTTGGTTTTTCTTCTGTGGGAGACAGGGTAAAAGAAGGGCTGGGAAGACACTGCAAGATACAGGATAGACAAGATGAGAAAGAAGCCCATCAGCTTCCAAAACCCCTGGAAAACCAGGGGAGAGGGCTCCCCACCTGACTGTGAGCTTAGGTGGGGGCTACCTCTTCCCCTTTCCATCCTCTACAAGCAGCCCTCTGGATCTCAGCCCACCCCAGGTAGATGGTGACTCAAGTTATTCTGCAGAGACTGATCCCTCTGCCTCTGTTGCCATGGCACTGCAGCACTGCCTGGCCAATCAGGAAGGAGATGGGTATCTAAGCCTCTGTTGCTAAAGCTGGAGCAGGACACCTAGCCAATGGGAAGGGCAGCAGAGTGGAGCCACCATGGAAACCTCAGCAGCGAGGTTCAAACCATGGTTTTGTCTCCATGTCTCATTTGCTGGGGGTAGGCTGGGTTTTCTGCATTCCTTTTTTTTTTTTTTCAAAGAGCATCTTACAGCCCTAGGAGGATGTTCAGAAGTCACAGCAGGCATATGTGACAAAAGGCAATCTTCAAAGAGTCAGAAGGACTCCAGCTTAGCAGGGCACACTTTTAGATGATCCCTTCATCATTCTTTCCCCAGATGCTCAGCATCACAGGTGTCTCTGAGTGTGGCCATCCTCACAGCTCTACCTAGCCCCATCCGTCCTAGGGAATGTCTGTAGGCTGCAGACAAATCCTTACCCCCAAAGTAAGAAAAAGGTGTGGGGCTCACCCCC